GGGTCACATGGGGAGGGAAGCCCAGGCACGGGGGTCAGATGGGGGAGATCATCTGAGGAAATTTTCTGCACAGTCACCATTGTTTCTGCAGCCCGGTGTAATAACTCTGATGCCCTGCGCTAATCAATGATCATAACAGGTGAATGATAAATAACAAATAGATCCGATGTCACCAATACTCATCAATAGCGAAACGCGTCTCATTGTAATATCTCCACCAGAAATTGGTGTAAATAACCATCAGAGACGAGTCCTCCTTTGTAAAGTCCCGGTGACACCGCACCGCACAGACCGCACGCACATCACACACGCACTGCACCGTGCACACCGGAGTCGCTCCTCCACGCCGCACTCTCAGGAGGAAGCTTCCGGTGCCCTCGTATCCGCTCCCCAGAGAAGAGAATAAACACAATCGTGTAATTTGTTCCCGGAAACATTCGCTTTTTCCAAAAATATTCCGATCCGTCCGGAACAAACGCGTCGAATAATCACAGAATTAAAATCCTTCCAACTTAGCGCGCCCCAACCTCAGTGCGCGTCCACTGCTCCACGCGTTTCGTACAAAGACTTTCCTTATATCTCCCAAACAGGAAGTCTATGTCCATGTGACAGGAAGTCTATGTCCATGTGACAGGAAGTATATGTCCATGTGACAGGAAGTCTATGTCCATGTGACAGGAAGTCTATGTCCATGTGACCGGAAGTCTATGTCCATGTGACCGGAAGTCTATGTCCATGTGACAGGAAGTCTATGTCCATGTGACCGGAAGTCTATGTCCGTGTGACCGGAAGTCCATGTGACAGGAAGTCTATGTCCATGTGACCGGAAGTCTATGTCCATGTGACCGGAAGTCTATGTCCATGTGACCGGAAGTCCATGTGACAGGAAGTCTATGTCCATGTGACCGGAAGTCTATGTCCATGTGACCGGAAGTCTATGTCCATGTGACCGGAAGTCCATGTGACAGGAAGTCTATGTCCATGTGACAGGAAGTCTATGTCCATGTGAAAGGAAGTCTATGTCCATGTGACCGGAAGTCTATGTCCATGTGAGGACCCCAGTGGCACAGACAGATTGAGGTTTCGGGGGTCACACGCAGAGTTGGATTTCATATTATAACTTTTTATTTATTTCCCTTTCGGGGTGAAAATGATTATTACCGGAGAACCGGCTTAAGAATGAGTTGTATAGGAGTTTGAGTGACCTCTAGTGGCCACTTTCTGTGCTGCACCCACCCCTCTGCAGTCACACATCCATATGGGGGAGGAGCCTATGCTGCACCCACCCCTCTGCAGGCACACATCCATATGGGGGAGGAGCCTATGCTGCACCCCACCCCTCTGCAGGCACACATCCATATGGGGGAGGAGCCTATGCTGCACCCCCCCCCTCTGCAGTCACACATCCATATGGGGGAGGAGCCTATGCTGCACCCCCCCCCTCTGCAGTCACACATCCATATGGGGGAGGAGCCTATGCTGCACCCCCCCCCTCTGCAGTCACACATCCATATGGGGGAGGAGCCTATGCTGCACCCCCCCCCTCTGCAGTCACACATCCATATGGGGGAGGAGCCTATGCTGCACCCCCCCCCTCTGCAGTCACACATCCATATGGGGGAGGAGCCTATGCTGCACCCCCCCCCTCTGCAGTCACACATCCATATGGGGGAGGAGCCTATGCTGCACCCCCCCCCTCTGCAGTCACACATCCATATGGGGGAGGAGCCTATGCTGCACCCCCCCCCTCTGCAGTCACACATCCATATGGGGGAGGAGCCTATGCTGCACCCCCCCCCTCTGCAGTCACACATCCATATGGGGGAGGAGCCTATGCTGCACCCCCCCCCTCTGCAGTCACACATCCATATGGGGGAGGAGCCTATGCTGCACCCCCCCCCTCTGCAGTCACACATCCATATGGGGGAGGAGCCTATGCTGCACCCCCCCCCTCTGCAGTCACACATCCATATGGGGGAGGAGCCTATGCTGCACCCCCCCCCTCTGCAGTCACACATCCATATGGGGGAGGAGCCTATGCTGCACCCCCCCCCTCTGCAGTCACACATCCATATGGGGGAGGAGCCTATGCTGCACCCCCCCCCTCTGCAGTCACACATCCATATGGGGGAGGAGCCTATGCTGCACCCCCCCCCTCTGCAGTCACACATCCATATGGGGGAGGAGCCTATGCTGCACCCCCCCCCTCTGCAGTCACACATCCATATGGGGGAGGAGCCTATGCTGCACCCCCCCCCTCTGCAGTCACACATCCATATGGGGGAGGAGCCTATGCTGCACCCCCCCCCTCTGCAGTCACACATCCATATGGGGGAGGAGCCTATGCTGCACCCCCCCCCTCTGCAGTCACACATCCATATGGGGGAGGAGCCTATGCTGCACCCCCCCCCTCTGCAGTCACACATCCATATGGGGGAGGAGCCTATGCTGCACCCCCCCCCTCTGCAGTCACACATCCATATGGGGGAGGAGCCTATGCTGCACCCCCCCCCTCTGCAGTCACACATCCATATGGGGGAGGAGCCTATGCTGCACCCCCCCCCTCTGCAGTCACACATCCATATGGGGGAGGAGCCTATGCTGCACCCCACACCTCTGCAGTCACACATCCATATGGGGAGGAGCCTATGCTGCAGTCACAACAGTAATAACACTCGGAGAGTTCCTCAGGTGTCACTTTTATTGGGGTGTATATGACAGGCGGCGGTCTGGGGCCCCTCACTGAACACATTTCGGGCCCCTCGGGTCTAATACTGGAAGCGTGGCCAGGTGGTGACGGTGCTGTAGAAGGTGTTCCCAGGACAGTCGGTGGCGGTGACATTGCGATGTCCCTTCAGGATGTACGTGGACCGGATGTAACCACGGGTGACGCCGCAACTGATGAGGTTCTTGACGGCATTCTGGGCGGCGGTGTTGGGGTTCCGGCCTGGTGAGAAAAACGGTAAAACCAATGCAGCGCTCTGACGGCTCCTCCACCCAGCGGTGACATCGTGAGACCTCCGGGTCCTCCTGACCACCTGGTGCATTTCCCTCATGCCGGAACCCCCATCATAAGGAACCGAGGACAAGGACTGAAACATGTCATCCGGTGTCTGGAACTAACACCACTCACCCCGGGGCCACAGAACATGGAGCTGCCCGTGGTAGCCGATCAGGTCATGGCTTCCAAGTCCAATGGTGATCGGCTGGTTGCTGCCTGGACTCCATATTCATGAGGAGGGGGAGGGGGGGTTTAGGGTTATGGTCAGAATGGGGGGTCGTGGGGGATTATAGTTTTAGGGTTGGGATCCGGGGAGGGGTCAGAGGTCAGGTCACACTTACTCATGAAGGATCCAAAGACGCTGATGCCAATGGAGTTGGAGTTGTAGTTCGGAGCGTGGGCCCCCACGGAGGTCCAACCACGCCCCTCGTACACCAGACCGTCCTCCCCGACCAGGAAGCTGCAGGAGACGAGACACAGTCACTGGGAACCCTTCACCACCTGACCACCAATCCATGCAGCGCGACCACCAATCCATGCAGCGCAACCACCAATCCATGCAGCGCAACCACCAATCCATGCAGCGCGACCACCAATCCATGCAGAGCGACCACCAATCAATGCAGCGCGACCACCAATCAATGCAGCGCGACCACCAATCCTTGCAGCGCGACCACCAATCCATGCAGAGCGACCACCAATCCATGCAGCGCGACCACCAATCAATGCAGCGCGACCACCAATCCATGCAGCGCGACCACCAATCCATGCAGCGCGACCACCAATCCATGCAGCGCGACCACCAATCCATGCAGCGCGACCACCAATCCATGCAGCGCGACCACCAATCCATGCAGCGCGACCACCAATCCATGCAGCGCGACCACCAATCCATGCAGCGCGACCACCAATCCATGCAGCGCGACCACCAATCCATGCAGCGCGACCACCAATCCATGCAGCGCGACCACCAATCAATGCAGCGCGACCACCAATCCATGCAGCGCGACCACCAATCCATGCAGCGCGACCACCAATCAATGCAGCGCGACCACCAATCCATGCAGCGCGACCACCAATCCATGCAGCGCGACCACCAATCCATGCAGCGCGACCACCAATCCATGCAGCGCGACCACCAATCAATGCTATTGCTTCCTCACCTGTATCCTATGTCACACCCCATCCCCCTCACCTGTATCCTATGTCACACCCCATCCCCCTCACCTGTATCCTATGTCACACCCCATCCCCCTCACCTGTATCCTATGTCACACCCCATCCCCCTCACCTGTATCCGATGTCACACCCCATCCCCCTCACCTGTATCCGATGTCACACCCCCCCCCTCACCTGTATCCGATGTCACACCCCATCCCCCTCACCTGTATCCGATGTCACACCGTCCCCCTCACCTGTATCCGATGTCACCCCATCCCCCTCACCTGTATCCGATGTCACACCGCCCCCCTCACCTGTATCCGATGTCACACCATCCCCCTCACCTGTATCCGATGTCACACCGCCCCCCTCACCTGTATCCGATGTCACACCCCATCCCCCTCACCTGTATCCGATGTCACACCGCCCCCCTCACCTGTATCCGATGTCACACCGTCCCCCTCACCTGTATCCGATGTCACACCCCATCCCCCTCACCTGTATCCGATGTCACACCGTCCCCCTCACCTGTATCCGATGTCACACCGTCCCCCTCACCTGTATCCGATGTCACACCCCATCCCCCTCACCTGTATCCGATGTCACACCGTCCCCCTCACCTGTATCCGATGTCACCCCCCATCCCCCTCACCTGTATCCAATGTCACACCCCATCCCCCCTCACCTGTATCCAATGTCACACCGCCCCCCTCACCTGTATCCGATGTCACACCGTCCCCCTCACCTGTATCCGATGTCACACCCCATCCCCCTCACCTGTATCCGATGTCACACCCCATCCCCCTCACCTGTATCCGATGTCACACCCCATCCCCCTCACCTGTATCCGATGTCACACCCCATCCCCCTCACCTGTATCCGATGTCACACCCCATCCCCCTCACCTGTATCCGATGTCACACCCCATCCCCCTCACCTGTATCCGATGTCACACCCCATCCCCCTCACCTGTATCCGATGTCACACCCCATCCCCCTCACCTGTATCCGATGTCACACCCCATCCCCCTCACCTGTATCCGATGTCACACCCCATCCCCCTCACCTGTATCCGATGTCACACCCCATCCCCCTCACCTGTATCCGATGTCACACCCCATCCCCCTCACCTGTATCCGATGTCACACCGTCCCCCTCACCTGTATCCGATGTCACACCCCATCCCCCTCACCTGTATCCGATGTCACACCCCATCCCCCTCACCTGTATCCGATGTCACACCGTCCCCCTCACCTGTATCCGATGTCACACCCCATCCCCCTCACCTGTATCCGATGTCACACCGTCCCCCTCACCTGTATCCGATGTCACACCCCATCCCCCTCACCTGTATCCGATGTCACACCCCATCCCCCTCACCTGTATCCGATGTCACACCCCATCCCCCTCACCTGTATCCGATGTCACACCCCATCCCCCTCACCTGTATCCGATGTCACACCCCATCCCCCTCACCTGTATCCGATGTCACACCCCATCCCCCTCACCTGTATCCGATGTCACACCCCATCCCCCTCACCTGTATCCGATGTCACACCCCATCCCCCTCACCTGTATCCGATGTCACACCCCATCCCCCTCACCTGTATCCGATGTCACACCATCCCCCTCACCTGTATCCGATGTCACACCCCATCCCCCTCACCTGTATCCGATGTCACACCCCATCCCCCTCACCTGTATCCGATGTCACACCCCATCCCCCTCACCTGTATCCGATGTCACACCGTCCCCCTCACCTGTATCCGATGTCACACCCCATCCCCCTCACCTGTATCCGATGTCACACCGCCCCCCTCACCTGTATCCGATGTCACACCCCATCCCCCTCACCTGTATCCGATGTCACACCGTCCCCCTCACCTGTATCCGATGTCACACCCCATCCCCCTCACCTGTATCCGATGTCACACCCCATCCCCCTCACCTGTATCCGATGTCACACCCCATCCCCCTCACCTGTATCCGATGTCACACCCCATCCCCCTCACCTGTATCCGATGTCACACCCCATCCCCCTCACCTGTATCCGATGTCACACCCCATCCCCCTCACCTGTATCCGATGTCACACCCCATCCCCCTCACCTGTATCCGATGTCACACCCCATCCCCCTCACCTGTATCCGATGTCACACCCCATCCCCCTCACCTGTATCCGATGTCACACCATCCCCCTCACCTGTATCCGATGTCACACCCCATCCCCCTCACCTGTATCCGATGTCACACCATCCCCCTCACCTGTATCCGATGTCACACCCCATCCCCCTCACCTGTATCCGATGTCACACCGTCCCCCTCACCTGTATCCGATGTCACACCCCATCCCCCTCACCTGTATCCGATGTCACACCGTCCCCCTCACCTGTATCCGATGTCACACCGTCCCCCTCACCTGTATCCGATGTCACACCCCATCCCCCTCACCTGTATCCGATGTCACACCGTCCCCCTCACCTGTATCCGATGTCACACCCCATCCCCCTCACCTGTATACGATGTCACACCGTCCCCCTCACCTGTATCCGATGTCACACCCCATCCCCCTCACCTGTATCCGATGTCACACCCCATCCCCCTCACCTGTATCCGATGTCACCCCATCCCCCTCACCTGTATCCGATGTCACACCCCATCCCCCTCACCTGTATCCGATGTCACACCCCATCCCCCTCACCTGTATCCGATGTCACACCCCATCCCCCTCACCTGTATCCGATGTCACACCATCCCCCTCACCTGTATCCGATGTCACACCCCATCCCCCTCACCTGTATCCGATGTCACACCCCATCCCCCTCACCTGTATCCGATGTCACACCCCATCCCCCTCACCTGTATCCGATGTCACACCCCATCCCCCTCACCTGTATCCGATGTCACACCATCCCCCTCACCTGTATCCGATGTCACACCGCCCCCCTCACCTGTATCCGATGTCACACCCCATCCCCCTCACCTGTATCCGATGTCACACCATGCGTTGCTGTTCATGTGGTAGTTCTGGACGCTCTTGGCTTGGGTGATGCAGGCGGACTGGGTGGTGCATGCGGTCCCCTCCGTGTGGTGGACAACAACATACGTGACAGGCGTGGCCATGGCGGTGCGGCAGGTGGCGGCCCTTCCCCCCCACTGGGACTTGGTCAGGATGGTGGGGCAGCCTGTGGGGTAAATGGCATTGTATGATGACTGGTCGCTGGGTACAATGGGAGGAGCCAAGGTGTGTGATATGAATTCCCCCATCACGCCGCGGCACCACACAGGTAGGTACTCACCATAAGTGACCGCGCAGCAGGCGGCGAGGAGAGCGAAGATACGGAGCATGATGAGGATCACCTGAAGGACAGACAGACACAGGTAAGGTACAGAGGGGCCCCTGCACATGTGACTGACCTTCTCTACAGGACTTACCTGTCTCAGGTAGGAGGAGTCTGAGTCCTGCTCCCAGGAGGCTCCGGTATTTATCCTCCAGCATGGGGGGGCGGAGCCGACACGTGAGGCTGATTCTTATGTAACCAGACAGCACTGAATGACAGACCCCGCGGGGGGCCACGGCACAATATTCGGGGTCCCCCACATTGTAGGGCCCCCCCCCCCCCCCCCCTTTAAATTATCTCTCTCTCTTCCTCT